GTTTCGGCAACATTTTATCTTCTTGCTTTTTCACATTCGTGCCCACGGTTCTGCGAGAAGCGTTTCGGACAGTTTTTTTTTCCGCTTTGTTTATCTTGTCATTTGGTCGCAGCCGCGTCTTGTGGGTTTTGGATTTTTGTCGCGTGCATGCGCCCAAATCCGCAGTTTTGGCACCAGTTAGTTCTGAATTTGATTTCCCTTCGTGTACCAAGAGCCTACGCTCACCAAAGAATCCATGCCCAAAGCATCATAATGCTTGTGTTCCAAGAGTAATCGATCACCAGAGCATCCATGCCCAAACCATAATACCGTTCGTGTTCCAAGTGCATACGCTCACCAGAGCATCCATGCCCAAACCATAAGTCCGTTCGTGTTCCAAGTGCCTACGATCACCAGAGAATCCATGCCCAAACCAAATTCCGTTCGTGTTCCAAGTGCATACGGTCACGAGAGAATCCATAATAACGTTCGTGTTCCAAGTGCCTACGATCACCAGAGAATGCATGCCCAAACCATAACTCCGTTCGTGTTCCAAGAGCATGCGCTCACAAGAGAGTTCATGCCCAAACCATAATAACGTTCGTGTTCCAAGAGCAGCATCCATGACTAAACCATGCGCATTTCACGATTACCCATTCCTCCCTTCTGTTGCACTCTCCTGGGGGCGGCTTGTTTCTTGAGTGTTTTCGAGCTGTTGGGCCCTCACAGTGCGAGCGCCAGGTCTTTTTCCTTTTCTGTTGCTGTGCGAGCAGAAGCCTACCCAGTCTTGCAGAACGTCCGTGTCAGAAAGTCGGGCACTGTTGCTGGCTTTGCGTATTCCCTTAAGACACGTATTACTTGAGAGGATCCCTTTAACTGGCATTATGGGACATGTATAAAAAAGTGAGAGGGCCCCTTCAAGACCCTCAAGGGCTCCCTGTAGACCAACTAGTATGTAGTTGGGACAAGTATACTTTGGGAGGGTCCCTTCAAATGCCCCGCAAAGGTCCCTTTTGAATGTGTACGTTTGGCCGAGGCTTCTGTGTACCAAATATTATGTACTCGTATTATGGGACATTTATAACAAGTGGGAGGGCCCCTTCAAGACCGTCAAGGGCTCAAGGGCTCCCTGTACACGAACTCTTCTGTAGCGTGGGGCCAGAGTCCCTTTAAATGCCCCGAAAGCTTGGCCGAGGCTCCTGTATCCCGTATACCAACGATGGGACAAGTAGACAACTTGGGTGGGTCCCTTAAAGCCTGAAGCCTCCACTTAAGAGAAAATGACAACCCCAAACACCCTAACCCTAAACCCTGCAAAAAAGTGTCCAAAATGAAGTAGTTCCGCGGACCATTTTTAGACCCTTAAAATTACGAGTGCCGCGCCTGCCGCTGTTTCTGAGACCGCTCACACGCGATAACCCGCGGCAAAATAAAGCGCCATGACCTACTAGTAGTAGTAGTAGTAGTAGTAGTAGGAGGAGGAGGAGGAGGAGGAGGAGAAGTAGTGTGGCCTGCACCCCCGCCCCCCCCAAAAAAGAAAAAACGTAGTGCCGTAGTGAGCCCCCTAGTCTGGTATTCGACAGTTCTTTAGTACTATGATTCATGATAACAGTAGTAGTAGAGGGTGGTAGTAGTAATAGTAGTAGTAGTAGTAGTAGTAGTACTAGTAGTAGTAGTAGTAGCAGCAGCAGCGGAAACAAAAAAAGTGGTCATGTGCTCGCCTTACTCGAACACTGATGCTAGTCGTACTTCTGCTATTACTGGTGGAAATAGTTGTCGTCCCCCCCCCTCCCAAAAGAAAAAAAAGGCTTCGCGTGCACCCTCGGCTGCATGGGGAGTCTAGAAGGTGCGAGCCTTTCATTCCGAAGGCTCATTGCCCTCCTCCTGTTGAATTTAATCTCTGGCTCCGTGCCACTCCGATCTAGATCAAGGTTTTGGGACTTGAGCCACTGTAGCCTCGCCTGGTTGGGGCGTTTGGCTGCAGCTCCTTGCCGGCTTTTGCGGGTGGGAAGCATGATGGGGCCATCTCCCTCGCTGTAGCTTTGGGCCTGGCCTGAACTTGTGTGGGCTCTGTGGCTTTGTGAGCCTCGCTCG